GTTGTACAACACTACTATACCTCCTGCTTGGCCTTCCGCTGGCACTTCTATCAGCTCTGTGAATCCAAAGTCATCAAGCAACTCCATGCGGTTTCCCATTCTAGTTTCTAGCAGTGCCACCATGCAAGGCCTATGGGTATCTACCATCTCTCTAAAATTTCTCCTGAAATTATCATTGTTCCCTCCCCTTATGTTCCAAATATTGATGTTTGTAGGTCGATTCATTGAGATATTAAGATTCGGGTTTGCCGGATCCCCATTCTCTCTCACTACCCCTAGGACTGGGTTCCTTCTCAAGGATAGAACTAAGAAATGGCTCTATTGCCCACTGTTGGATCCTGATGTGGTCTTATGTCCATCGAGCATTTGTATAATGCTAGTGGGCAACTGAGCACATGCCTCTTCTCTTGCCTCTCCGTAAAGAGAAACACTTTTACTCCGTCGAGACTTGAGATTTCTAGGACTCTTTCTAAGAGTAGATTGAGGGGTTCCTCCTCCTCCTCCATTTTTGCCTCTACTGGTTCTGGTACTTGCACTTGGTTGTGAGGTGGAGATGGAGGTTGTTGGTGAAGTGGTGGAACTGGTGGCTCCTGGGCTAGCTGAGGTTGTTCCCATGGCAGAAATATGGGACTCAACTGGGTTAAAGTCTCTGGCATGAAGAAAGGCAAGTCCAGGAGGGCATTCTATGGGTATATTGGGTCGAAGTGTGGTGGTAAATTCCATTGGTTCCTCATTGCGTGCACTAGCTGGGGATTCACTGAGGGTGCTAGAGGTTGAAGGATATTGTTGAGCCAAGCTTGATTGAGATAATTGTTCATGGCCAACCTCATGCCTTCTGTCACCAGTTGGGCGAGGTACTGAGTGTTGTGGAGAATGATAATCGAATCCTGACCATTTATCTGGACACTGAACGAGCATGCATGGCCCATCAGGCCCATCTCCATCCATGACACAGGTTCGTATTCCTGTGCTTGTGGAGGTTGGACGTATATTATTTGCGGGTTCTCTGGTTGTGCGGGTGGAGGTGGAAGTTTTTCCATGGAGAGAATTTTGTGTTGGCATAGGATTTGAAGGAGTTTGCGTCTCCTTCTCAAAGATGATGGAATTCTGGGCATTATGGATAGGGTTTGGGGTACTTAAAGAGTCTAGATTTGGCGTGGGGGAGGGGCTATTGAATATATGGGAGGGATTGGTTGATAGAGTACTGATTGGGGCTGCCTCTTGCATGGCGTTTGAGTCCCCAATGTTGAGTTTTATAGGCCGATCTTCCATATCCTTTGCGTGCTCAAGGTTGGAGGACATTTGTCCATTACTATCTTTTACATTTGCCATTTGGATGGCATGCTTAGGGGAGGAGAGATTATCAGATCTTAAAGAAAGATTTTGGTTGAGATTTTGGGTAATCGAGGTCTTTTTACCAATTTGCCTATTAGTAAGGCTGTTTTTTTCCTTTTCATTACGTTTTTTAGCAGGGGTAATGTTGTCAGTTTGAGTGTTATTTTGCATGGCAACATTCTTAATTTGATTAATAGTATTATTAGAGTGGTTTCCAACATGTCAATGTCCTTGTTAGAGGAGGACATCTGTTCAACTGCATGGGAATTGTTGGTATTTTCTTTTAGAATTTTTCCCCCCTTGGTGGTTTCTTCCAAAACCATTGGCTCCTCACACAGAAGGGAGAAGTTGTTATTTGTTGTCAAGTTTGATTTTTCTTCAACCATAATGGCCACAGTTTTTGGGTTGTTATTACCTAGTGAAGGACTAGCATTTGTATAATCTTTGGATTTATACTGCAAGAACTGTGTATCTAAGTACTTACCAGCGTTGGCATTGAACAATTTGACTGAGATACCTGGACCATTGGAGTTTTTGATCGGATTTGTATTGATGTGTTTTTTATTCCCTCTTGCACCTTGTTGCCTTCCTTTAGTAAAAGACACCGTTTGCCATTCTTCTTGATTTTTCTCTGCCTTTGTTGTTGTTTAATTCTCCAATTTTGGTTCCTCATTATCGTTGATATTATGGGAAATATAAGTACATTGTTTTGCTATGTGACCCAGTCGTCCACACTTTTTACAAAGGAAATTTTCTCCTTCATAATGGATTACTTGTTTGTGGTGGCCAACATAAAGAAAGGGTTGGACTGGGATTTCCAATGGAAGCTCCACACATAGTCTTGCATAACGACCCCTCAAGGTGGTTGATGTACAAACGTCTATTTTTAGTGGACGGCCGATTGCATTACCAATTTTTTCCAGAATTTTACGATGGGAAAATTTTATGGGCAATTGAGGGAGCCTAACCCATACTGCCGAATTTGTTACTTTCTCTTTGGTAGCAACAAAATTTGGTTTCCATCTTGTAATGGAGAGAAAATGCCCATTGATGAACCAAGGTCCTTGTTTTATAGCTTTATCCATATTTCCTTTCTCTTGAATTTAATGATATAGTAGTCTTCTCCGAGATCTCCTCGAAGAAGTTTGTGATAAATGTTTGTTCGAGTAACTCACGAAGTTTCATACCAGCTAATCTATAATTATTCATCCTTTTGATAAACTGAAATTTGTTCTAAAATATTTGATGATTTAAGAATAAAAAAGTATTTATTATATTTATTCCAATTTTACAAAAAACTCAGTGAAATCCCACAAAGCGGGGTCTGGGGAGATAATGTGTACGCAGACCTTACCCCTACCTTACGAAGGTAGAGAGACTCTTTCTGATAGACCCCCGACTCAAGAAAAACTAAAAGGAATCAGAAATAACAAGTAGTAACCATATCAAGCAAAGGTGATATAATAGCCGGAGCGAAAGTAACGACATATAGTAAAAGAAATATACGGATACGAGAAAATGAAAGTACGAGAGTAACGCTTATAATACACGCCCGTTTAACTACTACCTTTCTACCCTAATTCTCAACCTCCATACCTTTCTATAAAGGGTCATGTCCTTAGTAAGTTAAAGTAGCGCCATGTCATGCCTAATCACCTCTCCGCAATACTTCTTAGGCCTCCCTCTACCTCTTCTCAGCCCCTCCCTCCTCCATTGCCAACCTCTCACACCTCCTCACTGGGGCATTTATGCACCTCCTCTTCACATGCCCGTACCATCTCAATCTAGCTTCCCTCATCTTGTCTTCTACAGGTGTCACTCCCACCTTTTCCCGAATATCAACATTTCTTATCCTATCCAATCGGGTATACCCACACATCCATCTCAACATCCTCATTTCCACTACTTTTATCTTCTGGACATGGATGTTTTTGACAGGCCAACACTCCGTCCCATATAACATAGTAGGTCTAACCACCACTCTGTAGAACTTACCCTTAAGTCTTGGTGGCACCTTCTTATCACACAAGAACCCCGAAGCGAGCCTCCATTTCATCTATCTTGCTCTATTACGATGTGTGAAATCCTCGTCTATCTCAACATTAGCTTGAATAATAGATCCCAGGTACTTGAAACTCCCCTTCTTAGGGATGACTTGTGAATCCAGCCTCACTTCCCCATCCACATCATTGGTTGCGTCGCTAAACTTGCATTCCAAGTACTCTGTTTTAGTCCTGCTCATCTTGATACCTTTTGACTCCAGCGTTTGTCTCCAAACCTCCAGCCTCGCATTAACACCACCCCGTGTCTTGTCAAATAGTACTATATCATCTATAAATAGCATGAACCATGGCACCTCCTCTTGAATGTGCCGCGTCAGAACATCCATCACCAAGGCAAATAAGAATGGGTTAAGCGTGAATCCCTGATGCAAGCCCATCCCGACAGGGAAGTGTTCCAAGTTGCCTCCCACTGTCCTAACCCGGGTCTTAACGCTATCATACATATCCTGAATCACCCTAGTATAAGCTACGAGCACACCTCTAATCCCCATATACCTCCGAAGAACCTCCCTCGGGACTTTGTCATAAGCTTTCTCCATATCAATAAACACCATGTGCAAGTCCTTCTTTATATCCCTATATCGCTCCACTAGTCTCCTAATAAGGTGAATAGCTTCAGTAGTCGATCTCCCTGGCATGAATCCAAACTGATTCTTGGAAATAGACATACTACTTCTCACCCTAACTTCCACCACCATCTCCCAAACTTTCATGGTGTGACTTAGCAGCTTGATGCCCCTATAGTTGTTGCAATTTTGGACATCCCCCTTATTTTTGTACACCAAAATCATCGTACTCCCCCTCCATTCATCATGCATCTTCATCGTCTGAAAAATGACATTGAACAACCTAGTAAGCCACTCCAATCCTTGTTTGTCTGCGGTCTTCCAAAATTCTATAGATATTTCGTCTGGCCCGATTGCTCTACCCCTGTACATCTTGCGCATAGCCCCTACAACCTCTTCAACCTTGATTCGCCTACAATACCCAAAATCACAACGATTCTCAGAGAACTCCAAGTCCCTGCGCATGATATCCATGACCCCCTCATCGTTCAAGAGTTCATGGAAGTACGTCTGCCATCTACATCTAATGCATGCATCATCCCCCAATACATTTCCATCCTTGTCTTTGGTGCACCTCACTTGGTCTAGGTCACGGGACTTCTTCTCTCTCACTTTGGCCATCCTGTATAGCTTCTTGTCCCCGCCTTTGGCCACCAGTTCTTCATACAACCTTCCAAACGCTGCATTCTTAGCCTCTGTAACGGCTAATTTCGCCTGCTTCCTATACATCTCCTCCTCGTCCCTTCTCTCTACTAGCTTACGCTACTTTATTGGTTTCCACTTTTCTTGAACTTATCTATTTCACCACCAGTCCCCTTTATGTCCATTAGGGTAGCCCTTCGAGACCCCTAACACCACTCTAGCAGCTTCCCGGATGCAATTCGCTGTCGAGGTCCACATATTACTCGCCTCCCCAGTATTCCTACAGGAGCCTACAATTTGCAACTTCTCCCCTAATTGTAAGGCGATCTCCGTAGTCAAGGCTCCCCACTTGATCTTTGGTTGGACACACATGGCTCTCTTGCTCCTCCTCCTCTTAATCTCCGAAATCCATAACCAAGTGCCTATGTTGGGCCACTATGTTCTCGCTCGGGATAACCTTGTAATCTGAGCATAAACCTATATCGCATTTTATGAGGAGCAGATAGTCAATCTGGGTCTTGGCTACCATACTATGAAAGGTGACCAAATGCTCCTCCCTTTTGTGGAAACACGAGTTAGCTATAACCAAAGCAAATGCTTTAGCGAAATCCAAAAGTGAGGTACCTCCTTTGTTTCTATCACCAAAACCGGAGATGTCGTGCACTAAGTCGTAACCTCCAACAGACGCCCCAATATGGCCATTGAGATATCCACCTATGAATAGCTTGTCAGAGTGTGGAATACCTCATACAACCTCATCCAAATCCTCCCAGAATTACCTTTTAACCTCCTCATCCAAGCCCACTTGAGGTGCATAAGCACTAATAACATGAACATTCCACCCTCCAACAACTTGCTTAATACACATTAGTCTATCGTTCACCCGTCTCACATCTACCACTAGCTCCCTAAGTTCCCTATCAACCAAAGTATCTACCCCATACCTGCTACTTCCGCCTCCTGAGTACCATAGTTTAAACCCATCTACATCCTGAGCAATAGTATCCATCCACCTAGTCTCCTGGACACAAGCTATATTGGTCTTCCTCTTCAAGAGAATCTTAGCTAACTCATTAGACTTCCCCGTTAATGTCCCTATGTTTTAGACCCTATTCTCAACTTAGAAGCACCCTTATTCCCCTCGCCCCCAACCCCCGCCCCACCTGAGGACATGACCTTATTCTACCATTGTTCACCATTGCCACTATAGGAATATAAAGCAAACCCTACCAAAGTATAAGCCAATAGACAAAAGGAAAGAATAACTCCTAGAGCTTAATGCACTAATTAAAGGCCAAGATAAGAAAAAATAAGCAAGTAATATTCTTCTAAAGCACTAATTAGACTAAGCTAGAAAGAGCCATAGGGAAAAGTTATAGAAGACAAGAATCAATAAGTACAAGAAAGTAAAAGAGACTAATCTGCCCTACAAATAAGCCAACCAGTACTGAAGGAAACTATGGCAATGTATGCACTTTGCAAGAAATAAGATAGAAGGAAATTCAGCGGACTGAAGTACCAATTCCGAAAGGATAGAACCTAATTATGGACTTGAACGTTGTATCACTGCTGGACACCTTCCTAGGTCAATTTTCGGCCTTGCGCTCACTTCGACGTGCTTTTTTAGCTGCTAACCTTTGTCGGTGCATGTGCCTCATGCGCTGCTTCCAATAGCTTTGGAACCTAGGACACTTGGGGACACAACTACAAGAATCGTAGGGAGGTTAGAGGAGAGAATAAAAGAAAGAGGCAAATAAGAAATAGAAGAACCGCGGAGTTGAGGGTTTCCTGCGAACTTTAAGATGGGAAGAGGGAGAGAATGGATATAGAGGGAAGAAAAAGGACACATGAGAGAAGGAACATATGAGAGGAGGGGTGGGAAGAGAGAAGAGAATATAGAAACAAGAAGGAGGCACTTACCTAGGTTTTCCGGCGTGCCGCTGTGGTTGCGTAAGAGATGAGGGAAAGTGGTTGTAGGCCGCCGGTGGTGGGTCAAGGCAAAGGAGGCGGGGTTGATTTTGTTACCACGAGTGAGAGAGAGAGAGAGAGTCAAGATGCTTTGAAAGAAGAAATTTTCTGCCTTTCGTATAGAGAATATATACTAATTTAGACAACTACTCTTATAATTTAGTCTATTAACAGTTTTTCTTAAATTATGTGAAAAAACTTTGAAAAATAGATAACATGGACTTAGGTAGTAATATGTAATTCTTCTGTTTCAGTGTATGTGACTATTTTTTTATTAGTTCATTCAAAGAAGAGTAACACATTTATATATTTGAAAAGAATCAACTTTACACTTAATAAGAAAGTTTTATAGCGACGCGAATTTTATGCCATGGCCATTAGTTTTCTTAAATATTATAGCTGCATAAATATTATAACATTCTTAAAAACATAAATTTTAAAGAATATTAATTTTTTTCTTAAATTTTGTGCTGAATCAATCTATATAATGATCCGATCGGTCGCTCTGTGATTTGAGCCCCAGTCCCCTATTTGATATTTTTCCTATGCTTGTTTGATCTTTTGTGACTTGTCGGGGATGGTTAATTTGGCTTCGTAAAGGTTTCGGAGTGAATTTGGACACTTAGTCTCATTTTTGTAAGCTTAAGTTGTACAAGTTGACTAAGTGTTGACTTTGTTGTAAACGACCTCAGATTTATAGTCTAATGGTTCCAATAGATTTGTATGGTGATTTTGGACTTAGGAGTACGTTTGAATTTTGATTTGGAGGTTCCTAGGATGTTTCGGACCTAATTGTCAAAAGTTGGAAATTTGGAGTTTTGGAAAGTTTGTAGGTTTGATCGAGAGTTGACTTTGATGATATCGGATATGGATTATTATCTTGGGGATTAGAATAGGTGTGTTGTCATTTGGCACTTGTATGCAATGTTTGGTTTCATTCCAAGTTAGTTAGGGTTGAATCTGACACTTGGTTGTGAATGTTTGAAGTTCCTGAACTTGAAGGAATGCATTATGTGTTTTGGGGTTCGATTCTTGGTTACAGATATAATTTTGATGATTTGAGCTTATGAGCGAGTTCGTTTGTTGTTTATATACTTGTTGGCATGATATAATGGGGTCCTGGAGGACTCAGATGTATTTTGGATAAGTTTCAAATCAATTTGATGTTGGTTGGCACTTTTGGTGCTGGTGTGTCGCACCTACGAAGTATTATGTGCAGGTGCGAATCCGCAGAAGCAGACTGGTGACTGCAGATGTGAGGGATGGCTAGAATTGGAAGGTCCATAGCTGCGAAGCTTTTGCATCACGAGTCTGCAGATGCGGAGGAATTGTGTGCAGGAGCGCAGGCAAGCAGGCAGGCTTTGGGTATTTTTGCAGTAGTGGAATCTTTGCCGCACCTGTGGGATCGCAGAAGCAAAGTGAATCTTCACAGGTGCGAGTGGTCGGGAGATTAAGTGAACTCACAGATGCGAGAATTTGACCGCAAAAGCGGTGTCACATAAGCGATATATGTGTCGATAGATGCGAAAATCGCTGGGCAGATTTATAATTCGAGGGTTTAGCTCATTTTTCATTATTTAGAGATTAGAAGCTCGGCTAGAGGTGATTTTTGTGGAAAAATTCATTATACTTTAGAAGGTAAGTAATCTCTACTTGATATTCAACTTAGATCTTGATTCTAAATTGTTTTGTGCTCTTAGGATATGGATTTAAAGGAGAAAAATTAGGGTTTTTGTGCTAGATTTTGGAGAGTGAATATTTGGAATTTGAATAGTCGAGATTTGGAAGATTTTGGAGAGTGAATATTTGGAATTTGAATAGTCGAGATTTGGACTCATATTGGAATGAGTAGTCGAGATTTGTATGTTTGGTCGGATATTAAAGATTGAGCCTTTTATACTTTATTATTGCTTCCTCTAGCATTATTTGATACCGTGGTGTGTTATTTGACTAGATCTGAGCCGTTCGGAGTCGATTTGAGAGGAAAGATATTTTTAATGTATTGATTCGGCTCATTTGAGGTAAGTATATTGCCTAGCCTTGGGTAAGGGACTAGTTGCTTGAGTTATTGTTGTTGGCTACGTGTTAGGGGTGTCGCACATATGAGGAGCCGAGCCCATATGCGTGCACCAAATTTATCCATGATCGAGGTAGTTATTAAGCTATATTATGCTTTGTTTAGATATTTCGATCCTTACTATCATGCTTATTATGTTTGTATAAATATGTACCCTCGCGGATCATGCTAGAGATCATGCGTAGGCTTGCTTTCCTATTTCAACATGATACTCATTATCGTGTGGCATAATCACCTAATCTGACTTGTATTTCTACACTTTGTACATGCATGCACTTTAGTATGCTATTTTATCAGTCCAGAAGTATGTGATTCGATATCCATTGACTGTATACAAGTATTCTTGTATACGCTTGTTGTGTTTGGACTGGTTTAACGACACGTGAGTTTTCCGAGCGGGTTGGGTTGACTATGGCACGTTAGTTGTCCGTGCAAATATTATGATTATGGCACATGAGTTGTCCGGCAGCGTATGGATAAGGATCCATACCTCTAGGGTCATCCTCTCTTTCTCCTTGATGGCATACACACAGTTGTGGAAAATTAATTAGTGTTGGGTTTTTGTGTATCTTCTCTATATGCAAATTCCTTGGATGCATACATGATTTTTACTACGTATCTCCTCTATATGCTAGCTTTGGACTTGTATACATGCCTATTTTGGCATATCTTCTCTATATGTTGCCTCTGTTGATGAGTTGATACACAATACATATGTACATATCTTCTCTATATATCTTTCTCTGTGTGACTTAACATGCGTATTTATGCATATCCTCTCTATATAATGGGTTGTTATTCCGTTGCAAAGCTAGAGCATATCTTCACTATATGCATCATTGGTTGTATCTGCATTCATATGTAGATTCTGGTATTGTTACTGCATATTCGTACGTATTCATGAGATGTAAAAATTTATGACGTGAGTATCATTGATGATTCATGCTACTACCTCTCCGAGGTTAGTCATAAAACTTACCGAGTACATGAGGTCGGTTGTACTCATACTACGCTCTGTACCTAATTGTGTAGATCGAGGTGTGAGACCTAGCAGAGAGCTGTGTTGGTTATTTGCTGATGTGCTATTGAGATGAGGTAGATTTGTTTCTCGTTTTCAATCCCTAGCATCTCTTTCTATCTTCCTTACTGTTGTTGCTTAGACAATATTTTATATTATCATACTTGTACTCCTGATATAGAGCTCATAACTCTGTATTACCAATTCTGGGGGATATATGTATTGATGCAATCTTATTTATGGTTATTTGACTCTCAGTTTTTATTATCCTATAATTTGTTATCATGATTTATTATTACTTTTATGATTGGCTTGCCCAGTAAGTGAGTTAGGCGCCATCATGATCGGTGGTTGTTTAGGGTCATGACAAGTTTGTATCAGAGCCCTAGGTTCATAGGTTCTATGGGTCATGAGGAAGTTTAGTAGAGTCTTGCGGATCGGTAAGGAGTCGTTTGTATTTATCTTCGAGAGGCTACCGGATTATTAGGAAAACTTCTCTTTCTTTCATTCTCTATCATGCAGATTTTGTTATGCTGAAGTTTGAATCTTTGCTCTTCTATTCTATCACAGATGGTGAGGACACATTCTGCTGAATCTGCTGAGTAAATACCAGTGCCCCCTATTAGATCTGCGAGAAGCCAATGCTGAGGTAGAGACCGAGTAGGGGCATGTGCCACCCCTGTTACAGCATCGACTATGCAGCGATTGGTTGCTCCTGTTGAGAAGGTTCTAGATTATTTTTAGCCTGTGGGACCAACTTAGGCTCCGGAGGTACCTATTGCTATTCCTACTCTTCTGGAGACTTTGGCTTAGATCCTATATGTGTATTCGAGTTTGGCTCTGGCGAGTATGATACTAGTTGCACCAGCCACCTCAAAGTCCAGGAGAGGAGCCCAGACTCTCGCCGCCCGCACATCAGAGCACTTGGCTCAAGTTAATATTATAC